TTCATGGTATTAGAGTCTTTCTAAGAATTTCTTAATATTTTTTATCATGTCTTCCCCTCCTACTATCCCTACAATCACACATACTACTGCCATGCCATCCACCTCCTCTCCCCACCCTACTTAATCCATTTCCAACATCAAAAATTATATCTCTATTGTGTTGAATTTTTTCAACTATTTACTTTGGCGTAAACTTTTTCATCCTATTCTTAAAAGTCATGATGTTTATGGCCATATTGATGGTTTTTCTCCAAATCCTTCCCCAATTTTAACTGATGACTCCAATAACTAGATTCCAAATCCAGTGTACAAATCATGGTTGCAGGTTGATTGCATGGTTTTTTCATTGATTCAAGCCACTGTTTCCTCTGACATCCTTCATGCTATTATCAAACCAAATATCACCTCATCTGCTTGTGAAGCTTGGCTCACCTTTGAGCAATTATTCCATGACCAAGTGCATTCACGTGTACTACAATTGAAAAAAATATAGTTTTATCACCATCCCAAGAGTGATATTGCCATGTCTGTGTATCTCCGATAACTCAAATCTATTTTCGAATCGCTTGCCTCTGTCGACAAGTAATAACTGCAAGTAGCGNTACAATTGAAAAAAATATAGTTTTATCACCATCCCAAGAGTGATATTGCCATGTCTCTGTATCTCCGATAACTCAAATCTATTTTCGATTCGCTTGCCTCTGTCGACAGGTAATAACTGCAAGTAGAGATTGCAAATGGCCAGATTGGATTAGTTAGGATTGATTCAAATTTGTTTGCGTGAAAAATAATCTAATCTATTTTCAATCCGTTTAATAAAATGAGTTATAATGAGTTGGATTATAACGAGATTAATTAAACCTATTAGCCCGTAAAATAATTAAAGCTTTACATATAAACACATTCTAATCAAATAAAGCACATAAATATTCATATGAATACACTAAAAAATACACACTAATACAACAAAACAAAAACTCTCTGCAGATGATAACAGCCTCATAAGTCATAACAGTTCGGACCATTAAGACTTTCACATAAGCATTGCTTCATCATGTAGTTGAAGACTGAAAAATCTAATTAGTTCCCAGAAAGGACCAAACCCAGAATAAGCTTTTAGCCAAATTAAATGGTCCCTATCTCACACACAAACCAGAGTCCAAACACCTCTGTTTGGAACACATATGATGGATTTCTGCCCTAAGCAGTAAGCACTCTCAAAATTCAAAATTTCAAGGAAGTTTTTTACGAGCTACATCTAACAATCCTTTAATTTCAAGTAAGGTTGAAGATTAATTCTGTTACATTCATATTTTCCAAGTATTTGTAAAACAAATGAAAAAATAGAATAAGAAAAAGAGAAGGATCCGCATCCGCTTTGAGGGAGTGAAAACCTTTGTGGTTCACTTTGAAGGAAATCCAATCTCTATGACATTTGGATTGACTATTGATTCCATTAAATATTAAAACTTCGTGTTAATTTNTTTGAGGGAGTGAAAACCTTTGTGGTTCACTTTGAAGGAAATCCAATCTCTATGACCTTTGGATTGACTATTGATTCCATTAAATATTAAAACTTCGTGTTAATCTAATGGTTCCATTAAAACTACATCATTATGTTAGTAAATTAGGTTAGATTTTTAAATTCAAATAAGATTACTCTTTGAGTTTAAACTTTTTTTTAGTAATGTTACTGGAATATAATTTAGTGATCTAATTTGCTGACTTAATGATGTGATTTCAATGGAATCATTAAATCAACACCAAATTTCAATATTTGATGGGATCCATAATCAATCCAAAGGTTATAATAAATTAAGTCAATAAATTAGGTTCTANATTCAAATAAGATTACTCTTTGAGTTTAAACTTTTTTTTAGTAATGTTACTGGAATCTAATTTAGTGATCTAATTTGCTGATTTAATGATGTGATTTCAATGGAATCATTAAATCAACACTAAATTTCAATATTTGATGGGATCTACAATCAATCCAAAAGTTATAATAAATTAAGTCAATAAATTAGGTTCCAATAACATTACTCTTAACTTTTAGATTCTATTTAGTTTATGTAATATTTTCTTAAATACACTATAATATTAATTTAATGGTCACAATAAGTATAACATTAATGTCAATAGTAGGATTGTCAATCGCGTTGGTTTAAACGGATGAGGGGTAAAAAACTTGTAAACCCATATACAACCCGTTTAATAAACGGGTGAAAAACATCAACACGAATANAATACACTATAATATTAATTTAATGGTCACAATAAGTATAACATTAATGTCAATAGTAGAATTGTCAATCGTGTTGGTTTAAACGGATGAGGAGTAAAAAACTTGTAAACCCATATACAACCCGTTTAATAAACGGGTGAAAAACATCAACACGAACACGAACTGTTTAAGAAACAGGTACCACGACACGACTCGTTTAATCCGCTTAGTTTTAATTTATTATTATATTTTTCTAGTTGTCACTAAATTAAAAAAAAAAAATGTGGCTATCACCAAAAATAATATATATACTTTCTATGGTTGTCACTAAAAAAAAATTTGCCTAATTTTTTAAATTAATTATTATATTAATTTTATTTAAACGGATAATAAATGTGTTGACCGGACTCATTCGAACATGACCTGTTTATTAAACGTATTTCACGGGTCAACCTTTTTATCACCCGAATCTATTAAGATCACACTCAAATCTCTTTAACTCAGCATCGATTCGTGTCGATTAACCGTAATATATCGAATTTTAACAGGATTACTCAATAGAAACAGATTTAGAATATCTCGGACATGCTGTTTCACTTCTCCACTACACGTCAGCCTAAGTTCACGTGCTGATAAGGCGCGTGACATTTACAATACCGTTTGAACTTTCCGAACCCATTAAATGTCGTGAACGGCATTAAATGGACCCACGATGCCGAACCCATTAAATGTCGATCACTTTCCTACCGCAGCTAACCCCCGAACCAACACACGTAACACAAACTCAATGACCGTCACTTCGAACCTACAGGTAAGCTTTGCTCGTGATTAGGGCTGTTTAGTGGTGATAATTTCTTACGCAATACGAAAATTTAACTTGAACTAAGCAAAAAATTAATGGGTTATGATTGATTATTTTTTAATACGAATTCACAATTAACACGATTTACTAACACAAATAATAAATTATTTGAATTAATGTCAAATAAGAACAATACAAAATTAACTCGATTAGCACATTTAACTAATATTATAAAAATTAAATACTAATTATTTGTTATTGTTTAATAAATACTATAAGTAGCTCGTATTTGAAAGTACGGTACAATGTAAGTGATAAGTGATGTATTTAAGAGGAACAAAATTTTATATGAATGATTTTAAGAGGGATATTAGTAGTCATTGAATGAGTTTATTTGAGACAGTCAAATAAAATTATTTAAAACTCTCGTATTTTATATTATAGAATTGACGCAATTATTATAAAAAAGAGACATTTTTATTCATTAATATTGTTATGCTATTAAGATAATTATTAATTTATAGAAAAGTATAAATATGAATTCAATTAATTGATAATTGAATCTTAAACTTAAATTCTAGCGTTAATTTCTTTATTTGAAATTTATATGGGTCAATACAAATATCAATATGAACCTGATATGAAAACAAATAAATCAATGGGTACGATACAATTAATTAAATAAATTGGATCAAAAATAATTAGTGTTCGACACAAACCCACAATGACATGATACGACACGATTGTCACCCCTAGGGCTATTAATCAAATCAAGTTACAGGAACTCGATTCGGATTCGATTCATTTTTGACTCATTTAAGTTCGACTCGTTTTTTAAATGATTCGAATTTGACAATTTTTTAGATTCGTTTAAAGAACCAACCCAACAAATTCGATTTGAACTCGATAAACTCGTTTAGATACAAATACCTGGACTCAGTATGAGTTCGTTAAGCGTCAGCAACGAAACTTGATCAATTCTTTAAAAGAAAGGGTTAATTATAAATTACACCTCGAAAAATTATTTGAATTGAAATTTGTACCTCCAAAGATAAAAAATCTTAAATTGTACTCCCAAAGATAAAAATTTATATCAATGTGCACCTAAAATTAACCGCCGTCAGTTTGCTGTCTAAAACTAAATTGATAAATTATACCTAAATTCCTTCATCCTTGTCACTTAATCACTTGAATTTCTTCACAATTAAAATATTACTTATACATCTCATGACGTTTGTGCACGTGTAATATATAACCATTTTTAGTTGATATCTGTTAATATAACTATTAACAAATATGATTTTAACCTAATAAAAAATTATAATTTCATATTACCCTTTATTTTGTGGGTTTGATATATTCTAAAGTTCAAAATCAAGATTACTATTTGAATGTCTAATAGAATGTAGGTATTTATATAATATTTTTTGTATCAAATGTAATATATCACTTAAACATAATTATTTGAATGCCCAATTGAGGGGACACTTTAGATTGAGGGTATTTTTATTAGGATTTTATAACCGTTAAAAAATATGATTTTATCTTAATAAAAAATTATAATTTCATATTATCCTTTTTTTTTGTGAAGGGGTTCAAATGATTAAATGACAAAAATGAGGGAATTTAGGTATAATTTATCAATTTAGTTGCAGGTAATAAATTGACGATAGTTAGTTTTAGGTGTATATTGATATAAATTTATATTTTTGAGGATGCTAATTATGATTTTTGATCTTTAGAGGTGCACATTGATACAAATTTTTATTTTTAAGGATGTAAATTAAGATTTTTGATCTTTGAAGTACATATTAATATAAATTTTTATTTTTAAGGATATAAATTAAAATTTTTAATTTTTATGAATAAAAAATAAAATTTGAACGATATGTGCAATTTACGATTAACCCTTCAACAAAATAAGTCATTTAGCCAATTAGCCTTGAGATCGTTCGACTATCAGCCATATGGTCTTGACCATCTTTCCTGTTATTTTCAATTTCATCGAGCTCTCGACACTTGACTGTGATCTCTCTCTCTCTCTTGAAGCTCGGGCTCGTCAAGTTACAGCTTCACTCCGAATCTTTAATTGTCTTGGAGAAAAGTTACCAAAATTTCGAAGTATTCTATTTATATTTGCTGTATAACGTGTGTACATAATTTGTGAAAACGAAAATTGTCGAAGATCGCGATCGATGTACGAGCGCCGAAACATCTTTATTTGGTCATTCGAGCTGCTGTGCTTCAATCACTCTCCGGTGAAGATTTACGAAGATTTTCATCTGTAAAAAAAAATGAGAGTTGGTTTTCTTTGAAGTTATGCGATGAATTCTTTTCTCTCTCGCGCTATGGAATCTGTGAGTAGAGTCAATGAAGTGGAATTTTGTGAAGATCTCGTTTGATTCGTTGAATTTTTTTAATTATGTTTGTGTAGTTTGGATTAGGGCTTGTAATTTGGAGATCTTTCTTAGACGTACAGTGCACGCTTTGATCTACTGGATTGGTATGATTTCAATTTGATGCTGATGATATTATTTTCACCTGTGCGGTTTTATTCGGAATTTTCAAGTTGAGTGCTTTTTTTGGTTACTTTTCTTGATTGCTCTGATACTGTGTAGGACTTGGTGACAATTGCAGTGGTTGACTTCTAGTTATTGGCGTGGTTGCTGTTTCAACCAAATCATGTCGCAGAGTAATTGGGAAGCTGATAAGATGTACGTGCTGTTATTTCCCTTCCAATTCTGTTTTCCTGTTTTACTCCCTTAGTTTTAAGTGGATTACTCGTTTTTTAACTGGTTTGATGGCTCATGAGATAACGAAGGAAAGGGAAAGTGGAATCTTCCTCTAATTATGCTGTTTTGGTTATCACGGAATGGAAACCTAACGTAATTCTGCTGAGAAGGCCAAAGAAAAAGGGGGAAAACGAAATAAAAATAGTTAACAGAATTGGTTGTCTTAGATTCAAACCTTGAATTTCTTTCCTTTTACCTAGCCAGATTGTGATCTTGGGTTTTTTTTTTTTTTTGGGATACCAAAGTTAGTTTAAAGCCAGAATCCTGTGACATTTATTTGTGTTTTCTGTTTTTTTTTTCAGGCTTGATGTTTACATTCATGACTATCTATTGAAAAGAAAACTACATGCTTCTGCAAAAGCCTTCATGACTGAAGGGAAGGTTGCCCCAGACCCAGTAGGTAATATTGTCAGTTGACTTTTTGTATATTGTATCAGGGTTAGTTGACTTTTAAATAACCATAAATATTTTTTTCCCAGCCAGTTGATTAAGAATTCTTTATAAGTAAAACCTTTTCGGCAGAATACTGGATGGAGATATACATTCCATCAAAACCTTTAGTTTGAATTTTCAGCTATTGATGCGCCTGGAGGATTTCTCTTTGAATGGTGGTCCGTCTTTTGGGACATCTTCATTGCTAGGACAAATGAAAAACATTCTGAGGCTGCTGCGGCTTACATAGAGGTCCCTCTAAGCTTTAGATTTTTTGGGCTATTTGTGGATTAGTGTTTTAAGGACTTCTCTCGCCCCCTCCCCTTCCTTTCTTGGTGAGATGAGGTTAATCTGTTGCAATTTGTTTTTGGCTTTATAATTTAATATCAGACACAACAAGTGAAAGCAAGGGAGCATCAACAACAGCTGCAAATGCAGCAATTGCAACTTATGCAGCAGCACAATGCTCAATTGCAAAAAAGGGATCCTAACCATCCTTCACTTGGTGGTCCTATGAATGCTATGAACTCCGAAGGAATGATGGGGCAGCCATCAGCCAGTGTACTGGCCATGAAAATGTACAAGGAGCGAATGAAACATCCTCAGTCAATGGATTCAGAGACATCTTCAGTTCTAATGGATGCCAATAGGATGGCCATTCTCAAGTCAGCAACCAATCATCAAGGGTAACTGCCATACAACTTTTTTGTGTTCTTGATATCAAATAAACCACGGCCAGTCAACCTATTATGATTGCATCATTGGTTGCTTTTGGTCTTCTTATTGATTCAGCCAGTTCGTACAAGGCAACTCTGGGAGCATGTCTGCTGCTCTGCAGCAAATGCAAGGACGATCTCAATTGACCACCGTAACTACTTCCCCTATGTGTTCTATATATGCTATTTATGTATTTGCTCCATCTTTCCTTTATTTTACCATGCTTGGGCATGCTATTTTTAAATTTGTAGGATGTTAAAGCCGAAGTGAACTTGGGTGCAACTAAGAAATCTTTGCCTATGGATCCTTCATCAATATATGGGCAAACAATTTTGCAGTCAAAGTCTGGACTGGGCGGTGCAGGTAACATTATTAATCTTCCACAATTAATCAATTTACTAGTTTAACAAAATGTTATTTCGTTATGAGCAGGAATATGAATTCTTATTTTCTGTGTTTATTGAGGATTTCTGTATGTGAATTTAAGTTGCAAGTTATTCCTTTTCAATTTCCTTTTATGCTCTTCTTCATAATTATGGGAACAAAATCTATCTATGGGAACAAAATCTATCTATAAGAACAAAATCTAGCCATTTGTTGACACTGGTTTGAGTTCATACGACCATCTCTCTCAGTCACTAAGTGTGCTCCTATTGGAAGAAGATCTGCATTTGCGAAGCACTCGATCATACCTTAAAAAAATCTGGTCTGTCGACCATGGCCTTCATAAGATCTAGGGTGCTCCTGGTAGGAAGCTGAAGAAAAGCTCGAATCCAGATGAAGAAGAGATCAGAAGGGAGAGCTTTGAGAACAAGAGCCCAATAGGGTCTGGTTAACGGGACCTTGCCTCTTCTGGGAACTAGCCCTAATCGATTAACTTGTTGCATTCCTGATATAGTCAACATTGTTGAAAAGACGACTCAGATTCAAACACCCTTTGTTTTCTTCTTATTGATGTCATTGTACACGTCTGGTCACCAATGACGTTTTTTATTTCTTTTGCTGCCCTTTATTAAGGCCATAGATGTGTTCACATTTCTATATGACCTATTGACCCCTATATCTGCATATGCTAAAAACTGCTGTAGTTATTGAACATTTTACATGTACAGTTATCCTTTAAAAGAAATTACAATTTCTACTTAGAATTTCTCCAACATTTTATGTAATAAATATGTCAAGTACAATAGAAAAAGCATTTATCCATGTATGTGTGTGTATGGGAGTACAAATAGCCATGTGCTGGTGTCTTGGTTTTTGCAGCTTGCGATGTACAGTGTAGGTGTCGAGACTTACTACTCTTCTCCGCATCTTCAAATCATAGGCTTAAAAATTAATTGATCTTTTCTGAAATGTTTTCCCTAGTGTTGTTTTCAGTCACTTCGATAGAGGATTTGTGACCAGCTAGGCTGTGTTGCACACATACATGTCTTAGATACTCTTAGAACATGTTGGGCATTTTCAGAGCATGTTCAAAGTTTAATACTAGAGTCTATAATGTTGGAAACTCAAATGTTAAAAAGTAAATTCAATAATGTTGGACGCGTGGCCAACACTTGTGGAATGTCTTGGATACTTTCCAAGGCATGGTGGCCTATGTAGAACTAGCACTTCTCTGCAGGTCTGTTGGTTTCTTTTGAGATGCTATCAATCATAAGTCAATCATTGGACACTAATAATGCATAGATAGGATATAAATATGATAATAGTTGTAATATTAGAGGTGGCAAATGAGCGGGTTGGGTTGGTTATGGGTTGAGTGCAAAACAAATCTAATCCGTTTTCAACCCGCTTAATGTACGGGTTATAATGGGTTGGATTAAACCCATTAACCCGTAAAATAATTAAAACTCTTGATATGAACACATACTAATATACTAAAAATACACACATTAATACACAAAACACACTAATACACACTTACTAACACACAAAAAACAAAACATATTTAATAAAACACCAAAATGCACACACATACACTATTCACCAAAATGCACTCAGAGGGTCATGGGTATTAGTATGTTTGTGCTTTTGGTGTATTAGTGTTACTCTGCTAAGAGCCTTGAGCATTATACAAGAACGTGTTGTAGGAGTAATCTATTACCTTCTGGGTGGAATTGCCACAACATGGGCATTCTTCTTAGCAAGAATTATAGCTGCAGGATAATGACTAGGAGAATTTGAAAGGCATTATGGCATTAAGATGTGTGTGTTTTAGTGTCTTAGTGTGTGTATTTTTTTTGTGTATTTATTTGATTTTATTACTTGTGTTATTTAATAAAAAGATAAATACTCAATCCAATAGGTATCTATTTGTAATTCATCTTAATTCGCTTAATTAAAATGAATCCTATCACCCAACCCATTAAAACTTGTATTAATTAATATAGGTACCAAACCATTTATTTATAGACAGGTTACTTGCTAATGAGTTAAGATTACCACCTCTAGTTGTAATAAAGACAATAAAATTGGTTGATTGCCTATTTTGGTCCCCGTTAATTGAGGTTGATACAAAGGGTGGACTGATTGAAAAAGTAATTTTTGTAGTTATTTGCACTTAATGGTTGCTCTAAGCGATGGCTCCTCAGATGGTGGTAGAAAAGGATATTTTATGTTTTTTTCTTTTTATTTGGGATTTTTTTTTTGGGGGTGGGGGGTGGGGTGGAAATTGATGTTACATTTTATGTATATAATATTTGTCATTTCATCCTTTGTTTCGGGCCCAGTTAGTCGGACCTGATATGTTTACATGAGTAGCTTACATGCAACGTCATGTTCTTCACATTTTTTGCGGAATCCATCAAATCCATATCAGCTGAACAAGTTGCTGTTATACCATTTTTGAAGTAATAGTCTAATCCTCATGTTGGTTCTCAGGATTGAATCAAGGAGTCACTAGTCTTCCACTAAAGGGCTGGCCGCTCACTGTGAGTTTAACATGGCTTTTTTTTATATCGTACGTTTGGTCCATCACAGGTACATGAGTGGTTGACTGTTGTGCCATCATATTGTGTAGGGAATTGATCAGTTGCCTCCAAGTTTAGGTTTGCAAGCACAAAAGCCCCATCTGCAGACTCAGAATCAGTTTCTTTTGGCATCACAACAGCAGCAGGTCGTAGCCCAAGCTCAGGCACAAGGCAACGTTGGAAATTCACCCAATTATGGCCTTTCTGGATTACCAAGGGGTAACTTGAATCCAAAAGATGGTCAACCCTCAAGAAATGATGGATCTATATGCTCCCCTGTGCAATCAAATTCACCTAAGGTAAGATTATTTTAGCAAATCACAAAGAGGTGTGTCTGTTGTGCACAAGCATTCATGGCATACACACGTAACACACCCATAGATGCACATATAATTCTATTTTTGTGTTGTGAAAATAAATATAGAAATCTGTGTTTATATCCTTTACGATTATTGTACAGAGTAGATAAAACTTTTCTAACTGGAAAGGAAAGGGAAGGGAAAAAAGAACCAGAGCTTGTAGGGCTCTCATTTGCAGGCACATATTTTATGCCATTATCAATTGTGATCTGCTATGTATTGAGAATTTTTTTCTTCTGTAGTTTCTATAGGTTCCAAAAGCTAAATAATTTGGAAAGTCTCAACTCTGACACTATGTCAAGTGCACAACTGACTAGTTGAGTATATCAATAAACTTATATTTTCCTTGAAATTAGCATATTAAGGGTTATTGTGATCTGCATTGTTGTCAAATTGCGTATCGAAAGATATATCATTTTTCAAAAATATGTATTGTATCGTTTCTCGTAAGATACACACAATTTTAAATAATTATTAATAAAATATATATATACCTTTGCAAAAAAAATCATAGACTCATAAAAGCATAACATATCATTAATATTCTACCAACTATTCAAGTTCTCAGCGTAGTTCACTAATATCAAGATGCAAACACCTCTAATTCAACCTTTTAACATAAGCTGCTTGAACAACCTTTTGTAATTTTGAGTTCAATTGAACAATATTAACAACAAATTTCTTTTTTTTTTTTAAACTTAGCCACTAAAACGATGTTGTTTCACTTGCTAGGGATTAAAAAATAAGTCCTAGGGTGAAACAACGTCATTTCAACCTCAAAAAATAAAAAAGAAATTAAAAAAACAAAATCTTCACATATCGTATATTATATTATATGGTGTAAAAATGATACAAAGACACGATTCATATTGTATTTCAGGTGTATTGTACGATACTAATAACTATGATGCCCTGTCTTCCATGTCTAGTTTGAGGATTGGGTCCTTTATATTCTCAATTAGTGGCTGAGTGCCATCTTGATTCATGTGGTTGAGGTTGTCCAGTAAATCGGGTGCGGGTAGCAAAGGTTTTTTTTAGTTGACATATAAAAATGACTTGGGAATTGGGATGATAATGATGAGGTGGTGGTAAATTAGATAATATATGTTTGCATTTTATTTTGTGTATCATTTTTATTCACGCTACCAATCATGTCTGTGTGCACAACTACCTCTGCCAAGATGGACTTGTAATAAGCTCCCACGGATCCCCTTTCTTCTTTCATTTATTTTCATGACAGTATTTCAATTAAACAGTATATTCGTGCCTGCATGGTGGTGTTTGCATTGATATGTATCGGCCAATTCCTTTCCTCCATTTATAATCCATGCTTTTATCTGACAAGTGTCATTCATTCATCTCCTAGATCACCTTTATGTGGCACTTTTAATTTGTTCACAATTTTTGGTGACTAATGGTACACTACTTAATTCATTTCCGTTGGCTATTTAACAGATGAAGGTGGCCCAGATGCAACAGTCTTCTTCTCAACAGCAAGACCAGCTGCAGCAGCAGCAGCTACAACAGGTCAGGTTTGCTTATTAAGACAGAGTTCTTGGATCTCTTCTGATGAGTTGAATTGCCAATTTATTTGACGGAAATAGGCTATCCGATGATAATTCAGTTTCTAATGACTTATTCAGCATTTGACATGGGAACAATTTGTGCAGTTGTGTTCTTTTGCCTTTACTTTTTTGTTCTGTATCCTTTTAGGATTTAAACATAAATCAATTACTTATTTAAGTGGCTTGTTATTCTTATTCAGAATAACAGAAAAAGAAAACCGCACTCTGCTTCTGGAGCTGCCAATAGTACAGGTACGGGAAACACAGTGGGGCTTTCCCCTAACTCTCCACCGTCTACTCACACACCTGGTGATGGCATAACTACTGCTAGCAGTATGCAGCATGTCAATGGTGCACAGAAGAGCTTGATTATTTATTCAGAGGGAACAGGGGGTCTTGCATCATCAATGAATCAGCTGGTACACCTTTTGAGTTTTTACTTGCAGCATTTACTCATTTTTTTGAATCTGTTCTGCAGATGTGCAGATATTGTACTTGTACTTCTCAGGTCTCTATATGACATTTTGACATTGTATGCATCAATGAATTTTGAGACTACTATTCAGTCATAATGTGCTGTCTTAGCTTCATTTTCAGAGACCGATGTTTGAAACTTTGAATATATATTTTAAGTTTTCAACTATCAAATCCATACTAGAGTATCTTTATCAAGAAAAGAATAAAGTATACAAGTGACAGTGTGAAACATTACTATGGTCCTCAAGTATTGTTTCTTAGTGCAGGATGACATAGAACATTTTGCTGATGTTGGTTCTTTGGATGATAATGTGGAGTCATTTCTATCACATGATGGAGGAGATGGAAGAGATTTATATGGCACGTTAAAGCAAACTCTTAATGAGCACAAACCAGAATCTTCCAAGGGTGATAATCCAACTTTGTTATTAAATCTACCTGAGGAGCAGTAGTTGTTGCTGTTTACATATGCCCAAATGCTCTATGTTCAGGTTTTTCCTTTGAGGAAGTTGGATGCATACGAACAAGAAATAAAGTTACCAGCTGTCATTTTTCCTCTGATGGGAAGTTGCTAGCTAGTGCTGGACATGACAAGAAGGTATGATGCATAGTACATCACAAATCATAATGCTTCATCCACTGTCAAAGGAATACAGTTACCTGAGTAAACATATAGGAAGTACGAATATGAATATGGGATGATACGAGGTACGATATGATATGGATGTGGCGATATGACAAAACCTTAAAAAAAAAGATACGGATACGGCGATACTACAAAACCTAAAAAAACAGGATATGGATATGGCCAGGATATGTTTATAATAAAATTTATTATATATTTTACCATTAGAACAACTTAAAAATTATAATTTTTTCGTATTTTTTAACACTAGTAAACAAAATTAGCAATTTTAACCTTGAAAAAAGTGTAATATCATCTTATTATAATATATCTATAAAGTGAACTTGACCGATTAAAAGAATTAGAACCAACATTTAACTAGTTGGTTTGCTTACAAATATTTGTCTCAAAGGTTAATAGTGTAACTAATTTATTTTTTTATATTCTTTTGACATATTATAGTAGATAATACTTTAAAAAACACTCGCGTTTTCAAAGTCAAATAGAATTTTGTTGATGTTTTGTATTGTATATAAAATCTTGCTCCACTTGTAGAAGTATCCGCGAAGTATCCATGTGTTTTATTAATTATCGGATATATATGAGGCATATCCGATATGTATCGTCAAGTATTCGACGAGTACGAAGTACCCGTGCTTTATAGGTGAACATTTTTGTTTCATTTATACTGGTTCATGTCATACAATGGAATAATTTTTGCTATCACGAGGGATATTCTTACTGAAGTCTTTTAACATTGCTGGCTTACGAGTATTTGCACATGCTTGTCTATCCGCTTGGATCTTTGATCATTGTGTTTTGTTCTAGTGCACATACTCAGCAAAGTGAATGCAATGGAGAAGTTTATAAAAAGCAGCACTGGTCGAAAAGGAATAATAATCACTTTTTTTTTTATCAGACTGTTCTGTGGAACATGGATACCCTGCAAACAGAGAGCACCCCAGAAGAGCACCAATACTTAATTACAGATGTTCGTTTCAGGCCAAACTCTACTCAGCTAGCAACAGCTTCATTTGATAAGTCTGTGAGATTATGGGATGCAGCTAACGTAATTATTTCTGACCCTCTTGTTCCATAATTTTGTATGCTAGGAGTGTTCATAAGTTAGACTTTGTTATGGGAACAATTTTTGTGATTCTTTCAGTAATAGTGCACTTCATAAAATATGCATCTGTTATTACCTATTCGCACCGTTAACATCACATATTTAACTTCTGGTTGCAGCCAAGCTACTGTTTGCATGCCTATACAGGGCACACTGCGCATGTTATGTCCCTAGATTTCCATCCCAAGAAGAATGATCTTTTCTGCTTTTGTGATAGCAACTATGAAATCCGCTATTGGAATATTAGCCCATTCTCATGTGCTCGTGTTTCCAAAGTCAGTTTTTTCATACAGTACATTTTGAGTTTCCCTTTTTTCATATTGCACATTGTTTGAAAATTCTTTTGAAGTAAAATTGGATCACGGCTGGTTAATTGCTTCGCGTAGCAAGGAGGCAATGCACAAGTGAGATTTCAACCAGTGATAGGACGTCAATTGGCTGCAGCGTCCAATAAAGTGGTGTCCATATTTGATGTAGAAACCGACCGGCAAACTCATGCTTTCCAGGTTTGAAAACTTTCACTCAGTAAATAATTGCATCATGAGGCTTTAGTGACTAATGCAATTTTTCATGCATGGTCTTCCTTCTTTGGAATGTGACGATGATGTGTGATTTTTATTTTCTGTGATTATTCTATTTATCTAATTATCAGGAACACAATGGAGTGGTAAATTACCTGTGCTGGGATCTTACAGGCGATTATTTGGCATCTGTCACCGAGGAGTCTGTGAAAGTTTGGTCATTAGCTTCGGGAGAGTGCATTCATGAGCTCAGCTCCAATGGGAACCAATTCCATTCTTGTGTTTTTCATCCGAGCTATTCAACTCTCTTGGTGATTGGTGGATTGCGGGTAATTGCTTCTAATTCCCTTCTGATATAAGTGTCTTATCACCTTGAGCGACCATCTCTTTAGTAATAGACTTCTGCTGTGCCTATCAGACTGAATTTATTTCCCAGCATTTAGCCCACAAATAATTCCATTCTGTCTGTATGCATTTGAAGAATGAAATTGCTTTTCATCAAAATCAGTTTCATTTTTTGGAAGCGTGAGATTTGTTTTATTTTGAGGAATTTTTTTTTCAGTCTTTTTTACATTTTTCCAGGTACTTTTCCAGTGGTTGCTTTTTTTGTCCTTCTCCCAATGTGCTTCACTTTTTTTCGTAAGTCCATTTCAAAGGCTTAGGTTATGGTGACTTACACTAATGCATTTGCATTTGGCTTTAGTGCCCCCTTGGCCTCTTAAGGCATGCCAGCATGTGTTGGCAGGTTCACAGTTGCATAGCATCTTGAGCTGAAGATGTTGTGTTCGTGTTTTTGTCAATGATTACAACATGGCTAAATGAAGTTAATAACTTTACTTGGGTACTGTCTGGTAACACTTTTGTTCAATTATTTTTCTTGCTTTTTTGCTTTTCTAAATTACTTAAGTGAAGTGATGTTTATTTTTTGAATATTTGATATTTTACTTGTTCCTTGTCCAAGATTATTTTCTTTCTCCTAATTTGAATCACATGTATAACAACAGTACATATATTTACATATGTAATTTTGTTATTTCTATATGGATGACATTTATTGTATAGTGCTCAAGTATGGTTTTGCTTTTACAACGAAATTTCTTTTTTGCTTAAAATAAACGTTAGGAGATGGCAGTATAACGCGTTATGAGGCAGTAGTCTAAAGTTTAAACATTCTCATTTTCGCTGCACTTGCAGTCGTTGGAGCTGTGGAGCATGGCTGAGAACAAGAGCATGACAGTTACGGCTCATGAGAATATAATTGCTGCTTTGGCACAGTCACCTGTCACCGGAATGGTTGCCTCTGCAAGCCACGACAGCTCCGTCAAGTTATGGAAATAAATTATATATATGATAGATGGTGATAATGGTTGATGATGCAGAAGAGGGTGTTATTTCTCGGTGATGCATGCAGGTTTTCTATTCTATCATTATAATAAAATGTTTGTTGTCTATATTTGCTTGCTAAGTTGGAACTTATTTTTACTGCCTTAAAAGCTTTTCTTTATTGGGTTGAGCATGTTGGAGAGCTGAGGATGGAAGATGCGATAAAAATAGTCATTTTCTTTATGGACTTACAAAAACTAGGTAAGACAATCTATAATTTCTTGGGTATATAATAGGGTGATTTACAAGTATACACATAATAGTATTTTTTTTGTCCTTAAAATATGACCGTTTTATCAATTTGTTCCTTATTGTATCAATTTTATAAATTTGGTTTATAAAGTTTTAATTCGTGTCACTTTGGTTTTTAATCAGACAGTTCATTAAATATTTTTATTAAAGTGACTACGTGTCATTATTTTATTTTAAACTGTATCACGTGATAAATATATGATCATTTAGACAAATTTAATGGTTCATTTGTGTAGGGATAATTTAAATATGAATTGAATATTTTAGGGATTAAATTGATAAAATGTAAATACTTTAGGGATAAAAAATGCTAGTACTTAAAGTTTTAATTGTTACAATTATATCTTTAAAGTTTTAAACGAGTTTTAATTTAGTCCTTCTATTCAGATCTTTCTTTTTGTTTATTCCGACGATAAAGATGCAATAGAACTTGCCCATAAGGGTCTATTTGGTCAACAAAAAATGTCTCTCAAATGCATAGCTATTTCTCTTTTTAGCTGACAATGTAACTCACTTTTCCACTATATATCTTTTTATTTGGGTTTGTTAATTGTTTTTTTCTTTTCAAAATTAGATGAAATAACACCCAACAGATTTTTATTATATAAATGTATCTTTTTATCTGAGTCATATGTATGTTAGTCACAAAAGACTATTCTGTCATGATGAATTTTGATGTAGAAAGCCTAAATTGAAACTCAATTAAACTCGAAAGACTTGATTGTCGCAATTGAAATTGTAAGGGCTAAATAAAAATTAAATTCATATTTTAAGGGTGTAAGTTGTAATTTATCTGTATTTTTATGAATTTTAGAACTAGACGAGTCATACCAGCAGGGGGTGCTGCCTGCAGTGCAATTTCGACAATTTTTGGGCTATGTTTGAAATTTTCAAAAAATTAAAATTTTTTTTAGCATTTGCGTTCACTAAAATGTTTCTAAAATTTTAATTAGTACTTAATATTTGAATAATATTTTTTAGGTGGTTTAACGTTTGATTTAATATGTTAACCTAATAATGAGGTAATTAATGTGGTCCCCATGAATAAGTTAAAAGAGGTGTTGTTCGGGTATATATTTTTATAAGATTTTAGCTACATTATTAAATCAATAAATTAGATTTGATTTTTAACTTCTACTAGCATTACTTTTTATTTTGTCTCCAATTCTCTCTTCCTTAAGACACCAAACCACCAATTGTCATCACTCAAAATTACTTGTTTAGTTGCCACGAGTTTTTATGATTATCATTTGGTTGTTCTGTTTGACCTACTCTACTCTCATGGTCGATGCTCTCTTCTCTTTCTCCCCTTTGTTTTCATCTCCTATTTTCTTACTATTTTCAAACATGAATTGAAATAAAATTTGAAATTTGATAATGTAATTTTGAAGTTATAGTTTGAACTTTCAAATTTTAAAATTAAAATTAACAATGGGGACATAATAAGCATCACAAATTAGGACCAAAACAAATCGAAAATTTAGATGACGAGAGAACTAATGACACTTTATATAAAAAGACTTGAATTTGTTATGATTTTCATGGATTTCACCACCAAATAAAACAATTATCTTGAGATGTCATTAACCTCACAACAAGATTGAGACATGAATTAGGTTGTGACTCTTTTTATGATATTTTATGCTCTTATGAGGGAATTTTTTTTTTTTTTGCAACCGGAGCCTCTGGAGTTAGTGGCAGCTTCGGTAGCTACGACTCTGATTGATTCTATTGTGCATGAAAGAGAGATTGTCGAATATTTACTATGCTTTGGGTCCGTAAATTTGCTATATTTGTATTCGGAGGGAAGAGGCTACAGACTTTTCGATGTAATCCCTCCATGTATCTCTTACCTGAATCAATATTGCTCTTATGGTGCTGTTTATTCAAAAAACAAAAACAAAAACAAAAACCTATTATTTTTAAAAAAAAATCTATATCTATATCTATTCTATACTATTTCTAAAAGTACTTTACAAACAAAACTTTTAATTTCCTCTTATATTTTCAAATAATTATATAAAGACAATCATATCTTATTTTCTAATTTAACTCTTCACTACAAGAAAACAGGGCTTTTGCTTTTTGGTAAAAGGGCTGTAAAGTTAGCTTCAGTAATTTGCCGAAACAAAAACATACTAGCTTTTGCAAATAGCGGAAGCAAAAAAGTTGAATCAAAAGAGAAATATTTGCTTCGGGATGGAGAGCTGAAGCAAAAAACTTCATGCTAAAGCAAATACTCACATAATACTGCAAATATAATTTTTTTTTACAGAAAATAGGCACCTAATCCTGTCCATTCATAAATATAATTACGTATCTTCTAAATCCATACAAATCTCTCATACAATCTAGTATAAACGATTCTAATTAAAAATAAAAGTAATAAACACAATAATATTATAATTATCACAAACATCTGAATTTAATTACGTATCAATAGTTCAATATTTCTAAAATCATCAAAAGTACTAATTAAGTACACATAGTTCAAAAACATAAATAAATGACGGCATGCACAATATTTGCCCTTTCTCTATAATTTACAAAATAAAAAATTATTTTGTATTATTATTAAGTAATTTATAAAACGAAGTACATAAAATTACTAACACAAATAAAATAAATTAAAATGCAATATATATATATATATATATATATATAATAAAACAAGAATGTGTTAAAATTTTGTCTCAGTCATATTTTTTCCCTCAAAACTATCACCAATCACTTACCTCACCCATCGTCTTTTTGTCAGTCTCAAACATTAAATCGCATCACTTATTTCTATCATATGTTTAATTATTTATATATTTCTTCCCTAAAAATATCACATCACTCATTTATATCATATATTTAATTATTTAATATTTAATTAATTTATAATTAATATATTTTGAAAAAAATTAATATAATGAAATCGATTTTTCAGACGCTCGAATTTTATATTTTATCGGGTTATGACTAGTACATAAATATATGGTCAAGTAGCCATTCTTTTAACTGATCGTCCAACAGTTGGTCTACCTTTTCAGGGTCTACCCACACAAGCATCAGGCTTCACCACCTCTCCACACAAACCCTCCTAAATTAAATGTGTGAACCAAAAAATTAAGAGACTTGGAAGCAAAACTACATCATTCAACCAAAACACAACATACATATAAATGAACTTGTTTTCAAGGTTTCCACTTGCAAACGGAATTATGTAGAGTTGTCAATTCATAAACATTTCTAAATTTAAACAAAAGACCATCACAAACTTTTTTAAAAACCACCACCATCACCGAGTTTACAATTTACCATGCAATTTTTCCAATTCTAATCAAAATTTAAACATAAGCATGATCCGTCTCATCACAACTGAGCTAAACAAAGAATAAGATATAATCGAAGTGCATAGATGAAATGGATGGGCAATTAGCGATGGGTAGGATAGAGAACATTCAAATGGATTAAACCTTAACTTGAGCCAGTAATCTTTTCATAAGCCAAACAATATCATTAAAAAATCTTGTTACCATGACACAAACTAAGAATCAAAATCAAGTATATACTTAAATTAACATTTTGTTGCCAATGAACGTATTCTCTAGATATTTAAAGCAAGCAAAAGAAAAATCGTAAGTTAGAAAATTTGGTGGAAACAATCCATTATGACAATTTAGAGGGAAAATGTGTGAGAGTAGGTATAATACTTGCTCTAATACAAATTGAAACTAAACTAATCTATTAGTATAAATGACATTAAAGCATAGAAATAAAAAATCTGAGAGATGGAAGGAGTAATTTCGGCACCCAATTTTGTCCAAAGTTTCAGATGGTGTGAGAAGAGTTGGGTGTGTGTGAAAACTGAGCGTGTGAGTGGGTGGGCGTGAAAATGGTCTATGTGTTTGTTTGTGTGTGTGAGCTTTCTGTGAATGTGTATATGTATGTGCGATTTCAGTTTGTGTGGGAATCAGACAGATTGGGTGACTATGTGTGTGCACGAAATCGTGTCTATATGTAGTGGGTATGAGTTTGTGTCTGTGAATTTTAGTGTGCTTGTGTATGTGTGTGTGAGACAGAGAAAGAGAGGTAGATAGAGAAAGAAAGTGGGACTTGGTATGTGTCAGAGAAAGAGGTAGACAGAGAAAGAATACCTGGAGAAGAAGCTTATCCCCAAAACCAGCCTCCCCACCATCTTTTTTTCTAAACTTAATATGTTTTAAACTTATTTTTCAAACTCAGTTACTTTTTAAAAACGTCATTTGAAATGACACCTTAATGAATTAAAACATCATTTGAAATGACGATTTTAAGTTGAATTTTTTTTTTTATATAAATCGACATTTGAAATGACTCTTTAAAGCCGTCAGTGAGAATGATTTTAAAAAAAGTGAATTTAAACGACATAAAATAACAGACGTTAAAAAATATTTTCCTTAAAAAAGGTCATTTGGAATGACGTTTTTAAAAAATTAAAAAATATTATTTTAACTCTATTTTTTAACACAGTTGTACAAGTTTGTTAATTATTTTGATGATATTAATTTTTTTGTTAAGTAATGTTTTTTTTAACTGAAAAATAAATTATTAAATTATGTTTCGCACAAAAATTTATAAACTTTGAAAGCTACTAAGAAATCAAGTTATAAATTAAAAAATTGTCTATTCTAATTTTGTGTTATAAGTTCATCGAACAATGAGAATTGACGTACAAAAAATGTACAAAACATGAAAATATGGAAAAAGAAACTCAAACAAAACAATTTTATTACATGAGACTGTAAGAAATACACTGTATAAATATTGTGGTTGATGTAGAAAACAACATAGAGGGTTATCGAGTACACATAAACTAGATAAAATAAAAGTATTAGACGTATCAACACTTAAATCGGAATAACCAGAAAGTTCAGTATTAAAAATAAGTAACGGATCCTGTAAAATTTGAATCTTAGCATAATTAGGATCGAAATGCTCAATTTTTGCATGCTTGATTGCATGCAAACGATCAAGTCTATGCTGCATCATATCATTTTCACATTCAAGCCTTGCTGTAATCTCGTCTTGGTTTGTAGAGTTTTGTGGATCATATATAACAACCGAACATGCCTTCGGTACCATTAATCCATGTCAACGACAATATACTTCAAACTTACAACGTTTGTCATATAATTGTCGCAATCTTAGTGTGAGTTTGATACGAACACTCGGAGGTGGATAGTTGGTCGCAGGCCCAAAAAATACGTGTCCAACTTAACCGAATGAGTGATAAGGGTCGATGAGTTCATTACAGAACTCACGCTTTTGTCCATAATAAATNCGTGTCCAACTTAACCGAATGAGTGATAAGGGTCGATGAGTTCATTACAGAACTCATGCTTTTGTCCATAATAAGTTACACCGGTAGAATTTGTATAAGATTCAATTGAACGAACCACGTTCGATGATGCTGCTCAACCAGACGAGCGTTCATGTTTGTTGGTTGAAGATGAACTTTATTGTTCATTGCGTGATGAAAAACCTTGAGTGGTTTGACTGGATTGCATATTAGATGTGCGCCTAGACATTTTTTAGGTTATGATGTATACAATTAATAAGGATGGTTTATATAGACATGAAATGCAATTATATATTAATATGACATGACTATTACAGGATAAGACTAACATGACTTGACACATAAAGTAATGATATGACTTCACAGTGATAAAGTAATGACATAACTCGTTAATAATAACAGGATTGACATGACTTGACACTAGATTGACTACATTGATAAAACAATGAAATAACTTCACAATGATAAAGTAATGACATTACAATTCAAATACAAACGACTGACATGATTTATCACTACACTGGTTACATAGGTTTGGTATCTGACAAATGAACAATTGCACATGTTGTTAAGTTTCATCAAACATATAATCATTTGACAGGTATTGTAGATTAGACAATATATTATTTTGCTCAACTGGTGTAAACTCTCGTCCATGTTCAGTTCCCACCATGTCTTTTGCTTATTGAAGCATATAATAAAGATACCTACGAACCAGCATTCGATTATTCTCTCTTCGAACATGTTTTACTGCTGATTCGTAGTCCTCTCTATTTCGGCGTTACATTGTTAGTGATCGTTTATGAAACATTGGTATGCCAAGTTCTCCTAGTTGTGTGAATAGTTCGTTTGATTCTTTAGCACAAAAAGCCAACTCTTGTCGTACTCTTGCATAATACTCTTTTGGATAGAAAAATCTCTTGTTCTTATAATCATCGTTTCACTCTTGTAACAACCAAACNCTCTTGTCGTACTCTTGCATAATACTCTTTTGGATAGAAAAATCTCTTGTTCTTATAATAATCATTTCACTCTTGTAACAACCAAACCTGTTCACATCTACGATTGTTAAATCTCGTAGAGAAATTTGATGTAAACATAACTTTGTGTTTACGATATCAACTACAAATAAAGTGTTCAAATAGTAGTGTTTAAACCCTAGTGTAATAGATAGGTCACATCAGTCAATAGTATGACAATGTAGTCATCAGAGGCCATTTAGGGTTTAGTCATACATCAGATTTGTGTAAGGTCATTTCACTCTTTTGCCTTATCAAATATGTGTTGTTACTTTAACACATGATTTGCAGAAACTCATTCAAGATTTAGTTAGGTCAGCACATGATATGCTGAAACTCATTCAAGATTTAGTCACTTTTTCTTCTTTAGCCTTATGAAAGATCAGTTACTTGTCACTTCAAGAATTTTTTGCATTGATATGCTCAATTGTTGGAAGATGTGTGTATTCATTACTACACATGGTTGATCAGCAATTGCAGGATTTTGTCATTTCATTAGCATAGGGTTGATATGTCTATCGAAACCTTGATTTTTCAGGACTATATATTCATCGTGTGTAAGCAACTAAGTAAAGAAAAATCATTTCCACTTAGTAAGAGCTCTTAGCACCTTATTTTGGTCAAGAAAATATATGCATCTTCAAAGCTTAATGATAGTTATTGGCCTATGCATTGGAGATCGCCTATTGTGACATTCTTTTTTCATTGATATGGCTTTTCATTAGTATTGGTGTCGTTATTGTAGCTTGGAAACCACTAGGCATGTTTCGATGATGACCATAATTCTATCAATGAAGGACCTGGATACATCATCTGTTGGGTGAGTTGGGTTTAGTCACATTTCATTTTCCTATGTAAAATTTTTATGACTTAGCTTTCTAGCAGCACTAGTATATCTGTTAACAGGCTCTTAAACAGTGTGATTGCTTGCAAAAAACTAGAAAATGATCTAAATGATATGATTTCTTCCCAATATGTGTCCTACCGTACCATTGAAGTATTCATGGGACTGAAGAGACCCAATAGCTTGGTGAAAAGCAGCTGCAGCCATGGTGTGGCCCAGTCAATTCCCAAGTAATTATGTAAGCACATGTATTTCACAAATGCGCTAAACACATTTCACAAAACAAAATGCATCAAAACTGTGGCACACACTTCAGTGCATTTAGATGGTTGAAGACAAAATTTTACACATAATCAAGGTTAAATTATGTCCAAATCAAAGCAAGCTCACTGTTAAAATTAGCTGTATATGTCTCTACTGTCCCACAAGGGCAGCAACCAAGGAAGCAGCAAAAAGGATTAAATTTTTTTTTTTTGGGGGGGAGGAATCTAAAATAATGTGGATTAGATAAGGTCGTTATCACATAACTAAGGGTTTTATGCATGTTGAAAAGAAACTTATTACTGAATCCAAGCAGGCTTATTGATTTAGAGACAGCTGCAAATGATTATCACCTAAAAGGATAAGCAATTGGAAAAAAGGAGGGAAAAGAAAGAGAACTGAAAATAACGTAAATTGAACAATCTCTTAATCACATGATTAATGTTTTTATGCACTAAGAAAGCTAATAACCCACCAAATCAAAAGCCAGTTTAGGTTAATTACGGACGATCCAACAAATCTAAGTTACACCCTCAATTTAATCTTCCAAATACAAGAGGACGACAAGCTCATATGATCTAAAAAGCTATGATTTTCCATAATTAATCCAAGCCCAAATGACATCCACAACATCTATTATTGAAAAAAGAGAAGAAACCAACCACCCATCATTCACATACTTACGACAAGCCAGAAATTAACATAAAAAATTAGATCCAGATAAAAGTTTAAACAGAATGCCAATGTATGAAATGTAGAAGAGAAAAGCAGAGAAATTCAACCGTCCGGGAAGAACAAACCCAAAAAGTTAGCAAATGGGTTTTCCAGAACAACAACAAGAAGTAAAACCCATACGCATATTGAGAAATCTTTCACGCACAAGCAAGAAAGGGAAAAAAAAAAGACAATAAAAAGCACAAAAATCAAACGGGTAGTTGAACAACGAAGGAAAATGTAAAGAGAGATCTTACATTATTTAAAGGCCAAAACAGCTGATCTTTGGTATCTTGAAGAAACCGAGGAGGCTAAGAAGGAAATGCTACGCTAAGTTATGGGAGGTGGCAAAATTTATTACGGGAAAAATAGACAGAGAACAAGATCACTGTTGATTGAAAGACATTGTTTATGAATGGTGGTGGACTCTAGGTGGCTCGACGGTCTCTAGATTTACACGTGGAATAAAGAAGTCGTTGAGATGTTCAAAGGGCGTTGAAGAGATAAGTCGAGATATGGTGACACAAAGTAGTCGAGCATGACAGTTGACATCATATTTAATGCGATGTCACCCCTCATTTAGCCGGACGCTCGCCTAGCCCCCTTTTTTCTAACCCTGTTGTTTCAAGTTCGTCAGCTTGGAGATCTCTGTCTCATACTATTACAGGAATTGTCTTGTGCAATTTGACACCGTCTATGGGAATAAAGACATTTTTTTCGGTAGCGATCATCTGATGGTGAACACTCGATCTCAGGGTGAGGGAGCAGGTGTACAGGCCAGGAACGCAGAGCCTGTCTGACTTCCAATAGTTTTGAAGCCGGGTTCATTGGGCCAATCAGATGGGATGAGACATTCTTCGCAAAGAACGCTCCCTATAAATCAGGGCCTTGGGGGGCGTGACTTCATGACCCATGACATCGTTGAGATGATGGAAAAGCAGATGGGCAAATGCATTAAGTAGCTTGAAAGGAAAAATGCCAAAGTCCAACAACGTCTTGATGATTTCGAGCAGTCAGTGAGCGCGGGTGAGCATACTAGGTGCCTAGCCAGAACCTATCCAGACCCCCTTAGCATTGACCCTCCAGGAAAGATTGGATTATGCACTCGCTCGAGGGATGTAACCGCCAAGGAGGGTTCTCGGCCTCCAAGGGGAAATTGGAATCAGGCCAGAAAGCAAACCTGTCCAGGTGGGACCTACGCCGAGGGATACCCCGAGGGTGTCGGAGCTGCTGAATCATAAGCAGAGTCCACACCCCGAAGGCCTCAAGGAGAAAGATCAAAAACGGATCCCAGGGTCCTTTTCATTGCTCAGCGCAACCAAGAGCCCGAGGTCTACTCTGACGAAGTTATCTCACCATTCGTCCGGGCTATCAGGGAGGCCGAGATGCTGAAAAAGTTTATCGTCCCACGGTTCAAAGTCTATGATGGGAAAATCGATCCCGAGAGCCACCTTCGACAATACAGATAATTGATGTCAATCTATGATACTGACCAAAGGGTGTTGTGCTGAGTTTTTTCCATGAGCCTAGGGGACACGAGTATGAGGTGGTATGAGAACCTTGCTCCTGAGAGCGTTAGGTCCTGGAAACAATTGATGGAGCTCTTCATAGCTCGATTCATCACCAGCAGTAAGAAATCGAAGGATATCGGCGCTCTATTGATGCTTAGGCGAAAAGGAGGAGAGACACTCCGATAATATGTCGTTCGGTATTGGGATGAAGTGAAGGAGGTGGAGGCATGTTCGGAGGCATTGGCCACGGCGTCATTTAGGCTGGAACTGTCCCGGGACACTGATTTGTACAAATAGCTTACTAAGAAGGCTCCGACGGACATGAAAGACTTGATGACTCGGATTAAAAAATATGTCCGGGTGGAGGAAAAATCCGTCGTGCCCGAAAGCAGGGTCACGGTGCCAAGAAAAAGGGAAAGGGAGTAGCCGGCCTGAAGGGGAGGGCCTATTCCACCCCCAGCTCACCCACCCTTTTAGGGAGTAAACACGGTCTTCAACGAGCCCATTCACAGGATACTTCTCAAAATCAAAAACAAACCCTACTTCAAGTGGCCCCCGAGGATGTTTGGAAACTCGTCGATAAGGAATGTGGTCTTTCGATGTTCGTATCATAAAGATATCGGCCATTTGACAGAGGATTGCAAGGTTTATAAATCTTTCCTCGAACAATTGGTGCGAGACGGACACCTCGGGGGATTCATCAATAGGGGTTGTCCCGACCGGTCGGCGAGGGAGCAAGTCGAGGTGTCAAGCCTTCATAGTGGAGAGACCTACATACAACTCCCTCCGCGCCGAATTACAGAGGGTCTCTCAAGCAGTCAGGGTGGAAGAAAGGGATGATGAGCAGCCGCCCAAGAAGCCGCGAAGCGATGCAGAGGTTATCCAATTTTTTGATGCTGATCTCGGCGGGGTAGTCCTCCCCTACGAGGATGCATTGGTGATCACTTTGCGGTTCGGGAATTTCAATGTCAAGAGGATCTTGGTGGACTTGGGCAGTTCTTCCGAGGTAATGTACGATCACCTCTTCTACAAGATTGGATTCTCTCAGGGGGATCTGGAACCCGTAAAAACCCCCCTCATTGGTTTCAATGGTTCCAGCGCCCTGTCCCTTAGAAAAATCACCCTCATGGTACGGGCAGGGTTGGTGACCACGCCAGTAAAATTTGTGGTAGTGGACTCTGACTCCCCTTACAACGCTATTATGGGGAGATCGTGCTTGCATACAATAAAGGCGATCCACTCATCCTATCACCAAAAGATAAAGTTCCCAACACCGCAGGACATAATGAAAATTCGGAGTGATTAGGCATCGGCGAAAAGCTGTTTCTATGCAGTGGTGAAAACGGGAGTCAATAACCGGAGTTAAAAGTGTGATCCTGATGCGGTGGTTGCCAAATAGCAATCACAGAGTGGTCGTTCGGGAGTGGAAGAACCCATTATAGAGCCGGCCAATCGGTCTACTGAGGCCTTGGTGAAGANCATCCTATCACCAAAAGATAAAGTTCCCAACACCGCAGGACATAATGAAAATTCGGAGTGATCAGGCATCGGCGAAAAGCTGTTTCTATGCAGTGGTGAAAACGGGAGTCAATAACCGGAGTTAAAAGTGTGATCTTGATGCGGTGGTTGCCAAATAGCAATCACAGAGCGGTCGTTCGGGAGTGGAAGAGCCCATTATAGAGCCGGCCAATCGGTCTACTGAGACCTTGGTGAAAANAGAAAACGACGTTCATCACGCCCTGGGGAATCTACTGTTATACGGTGATACCTTTTGGGTTAAAGAATGCTGGGGCGACTTACCAACATTTAATGAACAAAATTTTCAAAGACCAGCTCTTCAAAACGATGAAGGTGTACATTGATGACATGTTGGTCAAAAGCAAAGAGGGGGCCGACCATCTCTATGATCTCGGGACGACATTCGCCATCCTCTGGAAATATGGCCTAAAACTAAACCCTTCAAAATGCGCCTTTGGAGTGAGCTCAAGAAAGTTTTTGGGGTATTTGGTTACTTATCGGGGTGATCGAGGCGAACCCCGAATAGATACAAGCAATCCAGAATGTCGGGGCGCCTAAGACCGTTAAGGATGTTCAGAAATTAGCCGAGATGTTGGAAGCCCTTAACAGATTTATTTTCAAGTCGTCCGATAAGTGCAAACCATTTTTTGCCAAGTTGAGGGGGGTGGTTAAGGGGGTTTGGGATGATGAATGCGGTCAAGCTCTTGAAAGGATCAAGGAGTACTTGAAACATCCTCCGATTTTATTTGTTCCGACGACAGGGGAGGTGCTTAGCCTTTACTTGTCTGTATCTCGAGACGCCGTGAGTGGAGCATTGGTCAGGGATAGCGAAGGGGCTCAGAGACCTGTGTTTTTCATAAGCAAGACCTTGCTTGATGCCGAGACAAGGTACTCTCCAATAGAGAAATCGGTCTTGACATTGGTAGTCTCAGCGAGAAAACTTCGACACTATCAGGCTCACGCCATAGACGTCCTTACAGACTGACCTCTTAAGCTGATCCTTCATCGAGCCGATATGTTCGGGAGGGTTGCCAAATGGACTATAGAGCTTGGAGAGTTTGAAATCAGGTACAAGCCTCGAATGTCAATAAAAGGACAAGTCTTGGCGGACTTTGTCGCCGAGTTCTCTGCGTTCGAGCCCCCACCAACGTCACAGGATCCAACAAGGGACGTTTGGGATCTTCATGTTGATGGATCCTCAAACGTAAAAGGGGGCAGGGATAGGTATAG